TTTCACTCTCACTCCTTATTCCCACACATATTATTCCATTCTATAATTGACTCATGCACTGAATGATGTGGAAAGTCACGCTGGGAAAACAGACCAGCCGGGCCCCCACAAGTACTACAAAGTCAGACTGAGTGGAACAGGGGTTATCAAACCCAAGGAAAGGTTTCTGTCACAGTGTGGTGGCATGCAATTAGCTGTATAAAGATTATAAAGATATAAAGAAAAAACAAACATGCTCGCTAATTAGCTTCAGTTGAGACTGAAATCTCTTTCTTGCTGGTTGCACTGTTAAAAATCTCTGAGTGAAAGTCATCAGAGTAAAAGAAATGTATTTTGTCCGGTTCCAGTTAAAGTTATGAAATGTAACTTTTCCACAATAAAATGTATAAAAATAACTAGACTTATGTTATATATAATATATAATATGTTTCTTCAGCTGTGTTCTTACATTATCCCAAATGTTTCCAGCACTTTTCAAACCACAGAAAAATGTGATTTGAATCATGGTAACGCTCCGTTTCTTCTGGTCGCCTGTCAATGGCGTCGTATCCTCTGTGTGCATGTGGTTTCCTGCCAGAAGCTCAAAATTGACTTTTTTTTATCCAGTTTTAAGCAAAATTTCTAAGATACACCTTTTACACCTTGGTCATTTTCAACTATAAAAAGCAGAGTAAATGTTAGACAGCTCAGCTCCCAGCACCAGAACAGCATCGGTGAAATGATTCCATGTTTTTAAAGGTTATAATCACTTCGTCCGTTTGTTGTGGAGAAAAGGACAATTCAGCTGCTGGTAAAAACCTCCTGAACGACTGACACTGAAGGAATCAAAACAGGGAGAAGCTGAAAGCAATGGTGATAAGGACAACAACTCCCATGATCCCATGCTGCTTCACAATGTCACCAATCGCCGTCTTTTGTTATTGTTTTGATTGGGAGACCTGTAGCAGCAGAAGTTACATACTGTCACCTCCTTGTTACTTCCTGTCTTATTTTAAACTGAAATCCAGCCACTTCTGGAACAAGTTGGCTGATTATTTTTGTCATAAATGAAAAATGTTGACGGCTCAGAATGAGAATGAACGATTGAATTGTTGCGCTGCGGTCACTGCTGCAGGTTAAAGGCTGTAAAGATCTCACCGCCCCTTTAAGTGCAGGACTTAACACATAAAATCTACTGTCAAAGGTCAAAGGTTATAAAGCTACTGGGTCACTCTGAATATAGTTCTGTAATCAAAGATGTTCAACTAATGTAGCAGATGTTTCTCTCTGAATGTGTATGTGTGTGTGCGTGATATTCTCAATATTGGCCTGTCCTGTTTCTCTCCATTACGCTGGAACATGGCTGCAGATGAAGGCAGTCGTCCCGCTGGCCTGGCTCCGCCATCCGCACCACATTAATCCCACGACAAACACTGAGACGTTAACAGGCGAAGCCATCTTGTCAGGTGACGGAAAAAGCTTTGGCCCATCCCTTATGTGAAATAGAGACATCACAGCGGCGTAGTTCGCGTCTTCCCATTCGGGAACACGCTGTGATGCCAGGCCTGGCTCACACACCGCACTTCACCAGGGATGTAAACAAACAGCGCTGGCTGGCCCCAAGCAGGCCACCCACTGCTGCAGAGGGCAGATCAGTGGCTGGAGTTACTGGAGTTTACGCAAGATGAGCTACGGTTGATACTGTAGATAGCTACAGTATGTGCTGCTGGTAGTAAGGTGGAGCGCACGGATTCTTCTGTCAGCTGCAGTAGCTGTTACAACTTGTAGACCCTGTGTCTAAGATCTTTACATTTTCTGTGTGACTGTCGCATCTTTCAAATTGTTCTGATGGCAGATGGGTTTGTTTGTTGAACCATGAGACACTACAGGTGAAAACTAGCAGAATATGTTTTCCACCAACTAACCTGAGTGTCATCAGAGAGGACAGTTTACAGAGAAAAAAAACTTGCTTACTTAGAACCACTTACTTGGTTTTTACAGAGCATACTCATGGCCTTCATCAGTGGATGGAGTTTAGTTTGGTTTCAGTGAAGCAGGTTTTGCTCATGCTGAAAAGTAACAAGTTTTTCAAAATTAAGGTTAAATAGTAATCCTTCAGATTATGGCCCGCCACGTACAGCAGAGTCTTCTTCTATTATTACAGCGTACATCACGTCTTTCAATCTGGAACATAAAGAAAACTTATACTGAAGGTATTTTTAACAATTGGGCTAGGCTGTGCATACACTCTGAAGTTGATCCAAGCTGTCGATGTGTACTGTTCCTGAACGCAACACACGAAGGAAGGAGAAGCTGAAAAGTAAAGCAAATGACAAACTGGAGTGACGGCTTGAGGAAAGTCAAAAAATAAGTGTTAAATACTTTGGAAAAACTTCTCACTTCAATGTTATTGGCAATAGCACTGAAAAATTGCAGTTTGATTGTTGCACATGTATGTATGTATGGCATGTACATTTATATCTTTCTACCGAGTGCAAAACAGTCTCAGCTCCACACTGAACTCAGACACAGTGAGTGTTTCTTTCTGGAGGTGTCACATCTCGACATGTCACCGTGGGGACTGTGTGTGTCTGTGTGATGAATGCATACCTGCGTACGTGCATGTGTGACCTCACGGTGCCTCTTTCTGGATCTGTGCCCTCAGGTGTGTGTTTATGTTGGTGACAGCTTGCTCTTGCAGACGTCTCTCTCCGCGACCTGCTGCCACTCTCACCATCTGCAGTAAAAACCACTGTTTCACAAAACACAGCACCAAACTTCACCCACGCTCGTCCACACCCTCCCCGAGGAGCCCGTCGGTGTTAAAAGGAGCAGCAGACTGTTGTGGCGTGCGCGTTGTTTGTTAGTTTTTCAGCGATGACGTCGTCACTGTATAACTCTGTTAACCACAGTCATTTCCGACGCTGCAGTCGCTTTTACTCAAATGCCAAATTGTTGTTTAATCACATGTGTGGAGTTGCACCTCACAAGGATGGGTGTTTACTTAACCACAGGCCTGTCTGTTTCAGTTCCGACCGTAACAAACCTGGAGATGTTGAAACACTTTAGCTGGCGGGACTTTAAGTGTCTTGTTAGTGTCAGACCTGCGCTTTTCATTGCAGCATTAAAGGTTAAATATATCTCCTGTTAATCATGTAATGAGATCTCTCAGGCCTCGTCCAGGTCTGTGGCTCAGTGGAGGCGTACGTCTCGGTGACCACACTGTGGTGCCACTACTACTAATACTGTGATATAATAAGACCACAGCAGCAGTCATCTGAGAAATATAGTATGGTATATTCTTGAACTGGCCGTTGTTAGTCTTAACTGTAGGAGGCTATTTGAAACTCCTGGTTGTGTGCGTGCATGTGTGTGTGTGTGTGTGTGTGTGTGTTGGACCACAAGAGCAGGCTTTCCTTCATTTATTACCACGATTAGAGGACGTATGGGCACAGTGCTGCGTAGAGAACTTTTGAACCCCAGGTAAAGCAAATTCCCACATGTCAAAGATCCAGATTTTTTTTTTCTCTCTCCCATAGGACCACACCCCATTTAGGCCTATGCATGTACTACAATTACTGTTCTGATGAAACAGAGAAAAAAGCTGCTGCACGAGAGCTGGAAGCCAGATCAGAGGGGATAGGATCATTTTGTATTTGACCTCCCGCTGACCGCCAATATGGGACACTGTTAGAGACACACACACACACACACATACTGTCAGCACACTCACTGACGGCACATACATGAAGCTTCTGTATACAAAGGAAAACGTGTGTTTCTTCCCTGTCAGACATTGACTCTCTCTTTTTGAGGTGTTAAAGAATGATCCCAGTTCAGTGCCACCGCTCCGCAGAAGAGGTTTCTCATTAACCTGAGTAATGGATCAACTGAGTGAAGCGTTTACCTGAACTTCTTGTGTGTGTGAGTGCACACACACCTTCCTGCCCTGGGCTGCAACCACTAGGCTTGGAATCACTGTTTAGTGTTGTGTTTGACCCGGGTGATTAGGTGTTTAAACTTGTGTCTCGTCCTCGTTAAGTGTTGGCAGATGCCAGATGCTTGAAAGCATGTGATGAGATATTGATGAAAAGGCTCCTATTTGTTTTTCTCGCTGTCTTCTGGTGATGCCGGCGAAAGCATTTCTGGGCTTTCGATAACACAAACAACATTCGCAGAGATGCCTAAACACGGAAAAAAGGCCTCTTACACAAGACACAGTCAGGTCAACCCAGCTCCTGTCGGGGAGGAGCTGGTCAATAGCAGCAGAAACACACAGGAACAAACACACACGCACACACACACACACACACACACACACACACACATACTGCAGCTTGTAGAAATGGCAACATGTCTAAGTTGATCATATTAAAGGAAGCTAATGGTGCTTTGCTGCCCGTGTCCAGCTGCTGCCTGACAGTACGTAGGTTACAGTCTCTGCTGTGTATCGTTCTCTCATGTGCCACCACGTCTGTTAAGAATATCCCTTCTTAACAATTCAGCTTGAAGATTACACTGTGACAGAGATTGGGAGCTGCGGAACATTTTCAGAACCTTGTTTGAATACATGCCCCTTATTTGCATGTCGGTCTGACGCCCCACCCGTTTTCTCTCATTCACCATTTCCCCCTTTTTTCTTTTCACTCGGTCAGATAATGCAACTCTTTCACTCGGCCGCTCTCTCCAACATTAGAGAAAGGCAGCAGATTTGTGCCGTGGCCTTCATTGCTAACACACTTTTGTAGTCCGTCGGTGTGTCTGGCTTCCAGAGTCAGGTGGAAAAGTGGCAGGACGAGCTGCACTTTGGGATCTGTGTCAGGAGGCCCGAGGCTCGTGGCGTGACTGCCACCTAGTGATGGTTTAAGACACTGACGAACTTTCATCAGCTGTCCACTGTTATAACTGACCTCTGACGGAGTGATGTTTCCTGTTACTTGGGTGTACATTATGCAGATGAAGTTAAAGAGCGCCTAACACCCCCCCCCCCCCCCCCCCCCTTCCTGTGTCGTCTCCCTCAGGCTCGCATGGCGCTGGATAAAGGAGCTCAGGCTGTTATCTTTGATGTCAGTGATGATGCCAATGCTGCAGCTGAGGTGAGTGAGCAGCCCCAGATAAAGACACAAAACGACACCATGATCAGTTAATGAATGTGTTAGATGAAGATGATCATACTGTGGTGTCTTTCTCCTCGTGCTTCGGTTGCGACCCAGCTGCGAGAGACAGACTCCCTCCCCCGTCCCGTCGTGCTGGTGAAGGCCGAGGACGCCGAGGAGCTGATGGGTTTGGTCAACAAGAACGAGGAGGCCAAAGTTCGTATTGAGATCATGGTGGAGCAGTCTAGATGGGTGAGCACAGGAGCGCGCACACACACACACACACACACCCACACACACACACACACACACACACACACACACACACACACACACATACACACATCTATCATGAGCTCTCATGCGCTGTGACGTTCCCTTTACTGGCTGGAAGAAGAAGAAGAAACTTCTCTGGGAAAGAGCAGAACAGAAAGGAAGTTGTGTGAAGTGGGTAAATTTCACGTCATGTTAGCAGAGAGGCCGCTCGAGAGTCTGTGTTTAATGTTGTTTTTGTGTGAAATACACAGGCTTTATTGTGAGCTGAGAGTTAGGATGCAAATGGACCATCAAGCATAGAGGGGAGAGGTCGGGAGATAGGCGTGGATGTTGATATCCACGGGTTCGCGGGCTTGAACACTGAAGGACATTTAGTAGATTTGTGGAGATTTAAAACAACCAAGTCATTCTTGCAGAGTGGTAATGCTGCTGTGTTTCAGACTTTCATGTGGATTCCTCTGAGGATTTTCTTGTAACTGCTAAACTTTCAAATATATTGAAGTGGTTACTGTAGATGATTGTAAATATTCGCTCTCCTTCCATTTTCTTTTCCTCTTGTCAGCCACATTATGACGTGGGGATCCTGCTCACCATTGTCCTGGCTATTCTGACCATCGTCTTAATCTTCGCTTTCCGCTACAAGTGCAAGTCCAACAGAACCTGGGTGAGTGAAAGCAGCGACACTGGTAGGAGTGTAACGCTTGCCACTGGTTGTCACTGATTTGGATCCACAGCTCAGCTGGAGGCCTTTCAAAGCTTTTTCTAACCCTTCCCTTCTTGTGCGTGCAGGACTCTGTCCATCAGCAGACCATGCGGGCCATTAGTCGACTGGAGACCAAAACCTACAGCTCTCAGGGCTGCTCAGGCTCACACCGCCACCGAGCGGCCTGGGGGTCGGCCAGCAGCTCCAACTCCAGCCCCGTCTGTGCCATTTGCCTGGAGGAGTTCCAGGACGGGCAGGTAGGAGGAGGGAGAGCGGGGAACATACCTGTAGTCATTCAGGTATTGAAATGTGTGCTTTTATTTAAATCTACCTCTGTCTCTCATTCGCTCCCAGCATTTGAGGATCATCTCCTGCGCTCATGAGTTCCATAAAGACTGTGTCGACCCCTGGCTGCTGCAGCACCGCACCTGTCCCCTCTGCATGCACAACATCATGGGTGAGGACAAGAGTATTTCCAGTTAAGTTTTGTTAAAGAAGGACCGTCGAACCGTAGACTGCAATCTGTTTTCATCCACTGCATTAATACTCTGAAGTTCAGTTTTCAACAACAGGAAACTTTTCAAAACAAACTAACTGCTGCTTGTGTCCACAGGGACGGAGCGGCAGCCCCAGAGGAACAGACTCCAGCAGAGTCCAGAACAAAGCCAAGGCTTCCTGCACGCTCAGCCTTACAGCAGCCCACACAACCACCCCTTCCCTCAGCACGCTATCCCCTTCTCTATGAGGCCCCACTATCCTCGTGGACCCTCTGGACCATATCCATCTCTGGGCCACTACAGTGGCTCTTCTCCCATGGACACCCAAACACTGCGTTTCCTCACCAGCAGGCCGCTCGGCTCCGGCTGTGGGTACCGCCTTCCTGCAGAGGGTCCCGGAAGGCCCCACAGGATTGGAGGTAACTGCAGGACGTCCACACACCACTACACCCCTCGTCGGTCCTGCCACAACTATCGCTCGTCCTGTCCGACCCAGCGCAGTGCATCCTGCTCCAGACTGCACCACACCGCCACTGTCCCACCACAGACCCGTGGAGCAGCAGCCCACAGCCGGCAGGACGAGGGCAGCTGCTCCGGCGGCAGCTACCACACAGAACGCAGTGGATACTTGGCTGACGGGCCAGCGAGTGACTCCAGCTCCGGGCCCTGTCATGGCTCCTCCAGTGACTCAGTTCTCAACTGTACTGACATATCCCTGCAGGGAGTTTATGGCAGCTGGTCCACCTTTCGTAGCTCTCTGAGTAGTGACTACGATCCATTTGTGTATTACGCGCCAGGTCCTGGGCGGGGCCCCCGCAGAAACAGCCTGGAGGCTGGTGCCCAGGCCCGGCCCAGGTCTCTGGACTCTGTGGTGAACAAAGCAGGCTGCCCTGAAGAACAGCCACAGACTGTGCTCAGCCACATCCACTACCACCGCCACAGACACCACCACTACGAGGAGGGGGAGCACAGCCAGGGCCCGAGCAGAGGCTCAGACGAGGAGCAGGGGGCCGCCGCCGCTGCTGCACCTGCTGCTCTCGTCCCGGACAAAGACTCACCTGTGTGTCCTCCTAAGCACAGCCCCTGCCTGTGCCCAAAGCCGGACCCAACAGATCGGCCGAGCCCGGGACAGACAGAGTGTCAGGACCTCGATCCCAGCAGCCCTACGGGACCTCCTGTCCTGATGTCCCCAATCCCCTTACAGCTCCAACCCCACTGCTGCCACCAGGGACACGGACACCCTCCCGCTCCTCTGGGGCGAGTGGGTGGCTGTGTGCTTGATGGTCCCTCGGTCCGCTTCCACCAGAGCCTGGATCTGCAGGATGACCGTAGCATCCACATTCACTACGGCCAGGGTCCGGGCTTCTGCTGCTCCCCGCCTGAGCTGCACCCCGCTCTGCTCCCCGTGCCCCTCATTCTGGACTCTGGAGGGATGGAGGACTGGACTTGCTGCGCCGGGGCCCATGTTGTGTGGCAGAAACGGGTGCAGCAGGCCCGCTCAGAGCCTCAGCTCCTGGGGCCTGGGACTCCTATGGACAGCCCCCCCTGCAGGTTCCACCACGGGCCTGCTGCTGACTGCAACACAGACATTTGTTTATACTGCCAAACATTACACCACAATCAGGGTGGGTGTCTCACTGCTTTACCTTTCATAACAGGAACAGGTGTTGATTCTGGTTTCTATTGATTATGACAGCACTGCAGTCACTAGTGTAAATGCTCAGTATGACAGGTGAGCCCTGTGAGTCTAGCAGAGGTCTCAGGTTTAGTGAAGCAGCAGAATGTGGGCGTGGTAATAATAAACATTCATTGCATCACTTTCTTTTCTCTTCCAGAGAAGTTTTGCTCACCTGGGGGTTTCTTAAAACCTGTCTGCTCGTGTTTATTTTCTTTCTTCTTCTTCTTTTTTTTTTTTTTAACTCTCGCTGACTTGAGCTGCTCTTGTGTCCACAGGATCAGAAGAGGAGTCCGGTGTGTGAGAACTTGTTGCATCCCCATTATCACGCTGCTACACAGGAGCCAGAATGGACAAGCCTCTCATTGGCTAATCGCTCTCATGTCTTCCACATGATTCCACCAGCAATGCCTTTCGTTCGGACGATTCCCCAGCTGCCGCCAGGATTCGAAGCTCACACACTGAAAAGCGCTTTCAGCCGAGTCGGTCGGGTTGTTATTAAAAGTGAAATTATTGTGATTAGATTCTGCGAAAGATGATTTATTATCAAAAATACATGATACAATGATTTAACTGTTTAGAGACAGGGAGTTGCTAGGGAAACGACTCAGACACCACAAAGGGGAAAAAGTGTTTTTCTGTGTTTCTCCTGGTCAGTTCTAAAGAAGAATATTCATTACTGACATGATATCACAAGCTCCATGCTCCTTAGTGACAACCAACGAATGATCCTTGCTTTGGGTGTTGAGCCCTGATGAAGTGAGACTCCATCTGTGCATTGCTCACTCTATTACAAAAGAACTTGATTTATCTTAGAGGTACTTAACTTTCACTCGTGTGATCGTGGTCTTCCTTCGCTGAGTCCATCTCAGCTGAGGGAAGCTTTACCCTCCAGCCTACCTCAGCTCAGATTTCTTAACATGCCTCACACAGGGGGGTCTTTAAAGGTACTGCTGTAGTAATTTTTTTTTTTTTTTTTCGTTTGTGTGTCACAACCATGTAGCTCCCATAAACTCAACTCAAAAAGATCCTGTTGGCAGTCTGACCTGTCCAAATGGAGAGAAAGGTTGATGCTCAGCCCCTCAAACAATGAGCATTCACTGAGGTTGCTGAGCCGTGCATGGGCCTTGTTTTCATTATTTCAATAATGGCAGCTGTTTTTAACATTTTTGTTTGTGTTTTTGGATCATTTTCTGTTTTGTTTTGTTTTTTTGTTTTTTTTTTGTAGTGTGTAATTTTTTTTTCACCTTTCAAAATGAACCGGTTTTGACTGAATTATGTCATCGTCATTACAAGCTATTGTCTCGTTCTTGTCATTTCTCTTGCCAGTGGTTACTTCACATGTTTGACCTCAGTGCTGTTGAACCCCCTGATCTGTGCAGAGTGAACAGGCCTCACCAGAAGGATAACAACCACATCCTCTGCTCCTTTAATGCCCATCTCACCCCCCCCCTCCCTCCCCGCTGTCTCCCAGCAACTAAAGCTCTAGAAAAATGACTATATAATAATGATAATAATATAACTGGAGTAAAGCCATGCTAGGTAGACTTCACAGTCCCCAGCATCAGCTGAGTCTGTTTGCATTAGCACCAGTTTAAAGAAAGCTTGGTGTGCTTTTCCCATGATTTCACACTACAATGGGTAGAGTCTGAGAAAAGTCTCAGGAACAATCAAACACTGGAAAGATGGGAAGAATTTATCTTAGTTACAGTAATGATACCCACAAAAAAAAACAAAACATCCATTGTCGTGGTAAATGTGCATCGCCAGTCCCTGCTTTTGAGCTTACGGCACTTGAAGGAAAATCCACCTTGAATCAGAAATCAAATACAGTATTGAGATTGATTTTTTTTTTTTTTTTTTACATTCTGGTAGTTTTTAAATTTTTAACCATCTCTCAAAGCTTGAAATGACAGAATCCATGTTTAACTCTTTGTTGCCCAGTACTCCCTCTGTGCTCCGACAAAATTCCTCTGTCCATTAAACTGTGTAGATAAAGGTCGACCTCACCGCGCCATCAAAGATCTTGTATTTGGCTTAACCGCAGACATCTTCATGCTCACATGTACTAGACTTAAATAATCCCAGATCAGAGGAGGAGGAATTCTGTTTTAGCGTGGACTTTCCCTTAAAGGCTCAGTGAAAATGTGAAAGGATTTTTCTTTGCAGTCAGACTGCAGACACAGTTTAGCTTAGCACAAGCAGCAGACAAAGAGCTCATGGGTATTGCAGTGTAACCAGTAGCACTTACTAAAAGCCTTACACGTGCCTTATTCTTTCAAACTGTCCTAAATCAGGAAGCTCCTGACACACTAAGCTCTTACCTGTCTAACCAAAGACACAAAATCTTGAACACAGTGAACTTCTAACGTGTGTTGTGCCTTTTGTTTTCCTGCTTTATCCCTGTCCTTAAATCTCAGAATTAAAACTTCCTTCACTGACAAGAGGGAACGTGCTAGAATCAAAGTGGAAATCATTTTGGACTCAATATTTTGGACAATCATGCAGAATTTTTCACCTGCAGTTCCTCAGAGTAATACCTCACACAGCGTCCTCTAGCTAAAGTATCAGAGTTTCCTTGTCTGCTATTTTTCCTGCCCAAACAGTCTCTGAGATGGAAATGACTGAATTACAAGCAGCACTTTGGCTTCAGTAGATTTTATATTTAAAAAAAAAAGAAAAAGAAAAACAACACAAATCTAATAGTATTAATTCAAAAAACAATCCCAAAACTATCAGCACATTAAAAAAAAAATAGCATTTGGTGATGCCACAGAATATCTGATGTGATTTCATCCTGTTCAAGATCTTTCTCTTTGTGTTGTTTATGTTTGTTTTGTTATGTTTTGCAAGAATAATGAGCTGAAACTGCCTTTTCTAATAGAGTAAAAATCCCTCCAGAACTTTAAGGGATATATCAGTATATTTTGGATACTTTGTGTACAAAAAGAGAACAACAAAAACAGAAATGAAATAGTGTTGTATTTTATATATAATAGAACATTTCAATATAGTGACATGTCACTAATATATTTATTTACTAATATATTTATCCATTTTGTCCAGGTTTGAAAGAGTGGTTTCTGTATAGACTGAATGTTCCTATATGGAAACTGACCAGTGCCATCACAGATGTATCAACCTGTCTTCATTCCAAGTATATGCAAATAAATTATTTTGAAATAAAACCTCTGATGTCGAGTTGAGTTTTTCTGCAGGAGAATCCAGTGAAACTCCCACAGTCTAAAGAGCTGTGTGTCAGTGTAGTAAGGAGCAGTTCCCCCACTTCGTTTAAAATCAAACCATTAAAGTGTCAAAACTTTGATTTACAATATGATTTGGTGCCGGGACCCTTTGAGGAAATTGTATTTAAAGAGTACAGAGTTTAAAATATGCTGCTAGAGGAACAAACATTATTAACTATAAAAGTTGTATGATAATTGGAATAAGGATTTTAAGATAATACAAAATGGAAAAAAGTGCTTGTATTTCACCAAGAGCATAACCACTAATAAAGCTCTATGGTAGACAGATGACAAACAGAGATAAGACTCATATGTTTGATTCAAAATTGAAAATTGAAACAAAATCCATATATTGACATATTGTATATGTCTAGCTAATAGAAATATGTATTTAAGTATGTCTGTTTACATTATAGGTTTATATTTTAGACATATGTTACATGAATATATATCTATCCCAAAGCCTGCCAGTAAATGTTCATTATTTAAGTAGATATAAAAGATACATTAAATTTAATAAAAAATTATTAGAATCTTTATGAGCATGTTGTTTTAAGTTGCATTTCATATACGTTATAAACTAGTATAGTAATCCATAAAAAGTCATAGTATATTAAGGTATATATATATTATATGTATATATATATATATATATATATATATGTGTGTGTGTGTAGGGGGGCATTTATATATACATCTATTGTATATAGGACATATATATAGGGCATTTCCTCTTAGGGGCCCCCTGGTGGCCGTGGTGCCCTAAGCACGCCCTGACCTCAGTGACAGTGCTGTTGTAATTTCTGCACTTACATAAACATAAAGCAACAGGAACATTTTTCTGTCCAAATGAAAATATGAATTTTGTTATAATTTGATCTCCAACCTACCGCCCGCAGCCAGTTAGCTTAGCTTAGCAAAAAGACTGGAAACAGGGGGAATCAACTAACCTGGCTCTGTCCAGAACCCACCTACCAGCTGCTCTAAGGCAATAAGTATAAGTGAAGTGTAATGGGTTTTTTTTCTCTGCTTCACTTTGCTTTTTGCTTTGTTTATTTTCTGACAGAGGCATGAGAGTGGTATCAATTTCCACAGGTAGCTCTCAGCGATTGATCAAATAAGCGTATTTCCCAAACGTCGGACTATTCCTTTCATATCACCTTGTTCCCCAAACAGACACACCAACCCACATGAACATGACTTTCTTTATTTAGCCATACAGCACGCAGTCCACTGACAGCTTAAAGCATATCTGATAGCACTTGCACCTCGTCACATGAAGATATTCAACACCCTGTATATGTGTTTGATATACTGTAGTTGTGGTGGGTGCTGTTGATTGCCTCTGAAATGTAGAGCCATATATAACAGTCTAAGTGTGGTTTGGCAGCAGCAGCGTGTGGATCAGTTGAAGGTTTTGGCCTGGCCTTCAGGTGTCAGCACGGTGAGGTTGCCCCTGGCGTCTTGGTCCTTCTCAATGGCCTCAAAGAGAGACTTGAAGTTTCCTGCCCCAAAGCCCTGGACGGAGAACAGACACACACAGATGGCTAATTACCCAGAGATCTACCTTCTTCTGTGTCATTTGCTATTGCTCTGGGGATCTTCTCTCAGACACCGTTCAAGTGCATTCAACACTTTGATGTTGACTCACAAACGGCAGATAAATATTCTCAGCGCTCTGACGGGGGGGGGAGGCTGCGCTCGCCAGCAGCTCACAAATTAATCATGTAAATATTTTCATAGATAATGAAAAGATCAAGAGTTGGTGGTTGCTCTGAGAGATTCAGTTTCTCACTTTCATGCATTGTATCCACATCTGTAGACTCGCTGAAATGCTGCAGAGTGACACGATGTGCCTGTTCTGACAAGCAGAGTGGGTGCTGGGTGTTATAAATTAAGTGCCACAGGGTGCAACCCAATCCAAAGATCCCCCTCGCTGTGAAGCAGTGAGCCTTTTAATCTGTACCTGTGATAGATTTACCGAGCTTTTACAAGTGGGCGACTGTTAGACTGTTCGCACTGGGTGGGAGCTGTAAACAGGTGTTCTGTCCCGGCTTCTTAAACAAGACCACAGGCCTGTAAATCCCATCAGTGACGGCTTGAACACAGCAAAGACGTAAACGCTAGAAAAGATTTCCCTCAGCTCACC